GGGATGAAGAGGTCTCCCACTAACCTATCTCTCAACCTTCCCTACTGTGCAAACTACTCTGGATGTGCAGAAATACTGGCATCAAGATGTGGAAAAGATTAACACAGTAGAAAAGCAGAGAACAGATTATGCTTTATTTCCAATTGCATGTCTGGTTGAGGCTGAGAAGAGAGAAGGTTTAAATTTAGATTAGATTAAATTTGTTAATATTACAAGATTTACCACAAATTGGAAATAATGAAGTCTAGTGATGGATAAAGAAACAACCAAATGCCTTAAAAAGATCTCTCTTGTAAATATTCTTTATTTTGGAGTACTTTTAACGTGTTATTATTATTTAAATAAATTCAAATAAACATTGGAGACAGAAAAGTACCTGGGTAAACAGTGATCCTCAAAATTGAGTATGCATTAGACTCATACTGGAAGCTTAAAAATCTGATGCTTATCTTATCCCACATTCTGACTTAAATGGTCTGGGGTTGACTTAGATATTAGGGTTCCTTAAGCTTACCAGATAATTCTATTGTGCAGTCAAGGTCAAGAACAGCTCTAGAAATAAGACTCTACCAAAAAAATCTCTTCTACTACTTAACTGTCAAATATCTACAGAAATTATTGAAAAAATGGAATTTTCATCAAAAAGATCTACCTGTTCAATCTCTCTGGCTACTGTCAAAGATATTTGACTAAATAACTGCTATTAATTTCATTAAAAGCATGTAAATAAGTAAGTTCTAAGGACAGAGTGTGGTGTAAGATAAATACTAAAAATATTATAGGAGGTAGGAATAATGTTTTGTAAAATAAATACTAACATATATGATTCCTACAGAAGGCATGTATTTAAAGTTTATATTGTTACACTAGTTGAAAATAGGAAAGTCTAATGATGTGTGTAAAGAAACATGGCTGAATGAATGCCTTACAACAGATATTCATTATAAGCATTCTTTGCTTAGAGGGATTTCAGTATGTCACTATTATTTAAATAAAATGAACTAAAAAGCAAGACATAAAAGTACATGGTGAAATTTGACAAAATACACATATTCCAAAATATGGCTTATTATTTTATCTTTCCAGACTTTCTATTAAAGGATTCTCTCACCTCCCTCCTTCCCTTTTTCCTTCCATAGAAATTAGATAATTGCAATATGACTACATCTTTGGTAGATACCAAAAATATGAAGATGACTAAGCCATGGTCCTTATTCTGATGAAGCTTATATTTAATAGTAAACAGATAAGGAGGCATTTAAAAATCATTTCATGAGGGACTATTAAAAATGATGCTCAAATGCTGGAGATATCACAATATCTGACTTCAAACTATACTACAGAGCCATGGTAACAAAAACAGCATGGTACTAGCATGAAAATAGACATGTAAACCAATGACATAGAGTAGAGGACCCAGAAATAAGCCCACACTACTACAGCCATCTGATTCTTGACAGAGGTACCCAAAACATATGTTGAAGAAAAATGGTGTTAGGAAAACTGGATATCCACATGTAAAAGACTAAAACTAGATTCTTATCTCTCACTTTGTACAAAACTCAATTCAAAATGCTTCAAAGACCTCAAGACCTGAAACTCTGAAACACAACATAGGGCAAACACTTCAGTATATAGGCATAGGCAATGATTTTCTGAATAGGACTCTTATCACTCAAGAAATAATAGCAAGAATTGACAAATGGGATTGCATCAAATTTAAAAAAGCTTTTGCACGGCAAACAATTACCAGAGTGAAGAGAGAGAATAGGAGGAAAACTTTTGCCAGCTACTCATCTGACAAGGGATTCACATCCAGAATATACAAAGAACTCAAAAATTAAACACCAAAAGAATAATCCAATCCATAAATGGGCAAATGAACTGAGCCAACACATCTCAAAAACAAAAGTAAGGACAAATGGCCAATAAATACATGATAAAATGTTCAACATTTTTAGCCATTGAGGAAGTAATAAATCAAAATGACATTGAGATTCCGTGTCACCGCAGTGAGAATGGGCATCAAGAAAAGAAATGCTGGCAAAGATGCAAGAAAAAGGGAATCCTTAGTCCAGTCACTATTGAAATCAGTATGGAGGTTCCTCAAAAACCTAAAAATAGAAGTACCATATGATCCTTCTACTATATCACTCCTGGGTATACACTTGAAGGAATCAAAAGTTAGCATACAATAGAGAAACTAGCATACCTATGTTTACTGCAGGCACTATTCACAATAGCCAAGTTACAGAATCAGTCTAGGTGCCCATCAACAGATAAATGGATAAAGAAAAAATATGCATAATGGAGTATATATTCAATGGAGTACTTATTCGGTCATAAAGAATGAAATTATGTAATATGCATGAAAATGGATATAACTAGAGATCATGTTAAGCAAAATAAGTCAGATTCAGAAAGACAAAACATCGCATGTTTTCTCTCACACGCAGAATCTGGGATTTATTTTGTTAAAAAAAATATGAATGTAGAAGGGGGAAGATAGGGGAGGAGATAGCAGGAGGAGAACAACCAAGGGTGTTAGGGGGATATATGTGAATGGATCAAAGTACATGCCATGCAAGTGTGAAGATGTCATAATAAAGCCAACTATTTCTGTGCAATTAATATTTTAAATGCTTAGAATGGATAATGAGGGAAACCACCAAAGAAAATGTTCTTGAAGCAGTGACCTCAGATCTGAGACTAAAAGGATGATTAAAAATTATTCAAGAGAAGAGAGATTGAGAATTATTATGCCTGCAGAGTCAACAATAGGTAGAAAGACAGGATGAGAAAACATGACTGTGAAAGATCATGGTGGGAAATTCTGTGAACCCAGTGTCCTAGAAAAAAATCATTCATGCTTTTAGATATAGAAAATATTGCTTCTATGGTAGAAGGCAAGCCTCTGAGCATTAACATGGCCTCACCCTGCCTTAGGGAACAAAAGCTTCAGTGTGGGACCTGATACATGACTGTGTATGTACTACACTGACAACTGAACTTTGGGCATATTTCCATGAGGAATTAGGGAGACATAGTCTTGTATTCATTTGCTTAGATAGTCATGCTGTGTTCATCTTAGTAGTGCTTTGGAAATTTAATAGAAAGCCTAAGTAAAAGTAACCTTGAGCAAAATCTGAGTTTAAAGTCAGTCTTTGAATGCAACCAAACCTCTTTGTACTGACCTACTCTGTGTCACAGTCTAGGAAAACAAAAAGTACAGAATGACTGGAGCATATGGTGTGGAGCAGGGAGTGGCAGAAAAAAGAAGTAAGCAGACGTAAGATCATGACAACACTTATAAAGATGAAGTCTTCATCTTGGAGATGGTAGGAAAGCCATAAAATTATTTTATGGGAATTATTATTATCAGATTTGCATTTTAAAATAAGCAACAATGGCAATATAAGGGATTCAGTAAGAAATGAGTAGTTAGAAGGCTGCTCTAGTGACACAGGTGAAAGATGATGACTTGAATGTCTGTGGCAGATGAGATAGGGACATGGGAACAGACGTCAGATATACCAAGGCAATAGGATAGGAAGGCATGGGTGAAAGAGAGGCATTCAGAAACACTCCAGGGTTTCTGCTTGGGCAAATGCATGAATAATGATTTCACCCTCTGATAGAACACCAGAGTGGGGGCATGCTTTGGAGCGAAGATGATAGGTTAAATTTGGAGGAATCATATTCAAGAGGCCATAGGATATGTACAACAAGCAACTCTACAGTGACATCTGGATACATATTTAAAAGGAGAAAACTCAAAAAATTAAGTTACTTTGTGAATACGAAATATCAAGTATGAAAGCACAGATGATGAAGGGATAAAGAAAATACAACCTTAAGGTATGTGATTAAGGAAAATAAAGGAAGAGGGAAGAATGATAAGATGTAAACTAAAGCAATGTGTAATTACATTAAGAAAATGATACACTAAAATTCGATCGTCACCAACAGCAAATCTATTTTCTACAAATGTTTCTCATGAAATGCGGATGCACATTTGGAGGAGGAGCTGGGAAAGGAAGGTGGTATTTTGAGTTATAGAGTCTGCTGGAACTTTTAAATATTTAGTAAAATATACTAACTGGACTATAAAGTACAGTAACTGAGACTTCAATTTTAAAAATGTACAGAATGGACATAGTTCACCTCAGGCATTTGGCACAAGACATGGAATGTGATGTAAGCATTTCCTTCTCTGCAAAGAAGATGCATCTACCAGAGAGTATGAAAAGTCTGTCTCAACCTTACTGACATGTAATCATTCTGAGTTCAAACTGTGTTAATCTGGAAAAAGCTGTACTGGAAGATTTCTTTTTCCTTCATTAAGCAATGAAGAACAATGCACCGCTTACAGCAGCTGCCTCATCTTTGAAATCACTAGTTTAGAAACACTGCCTATAATGGAAATGCATATACCCTACCAGGGTTCCCAAAAACATCCAGTAAGCATACATGTCACAATTCCTATTTTTTAATTGCACAATTTATTTAAAAAACATAAGAGAAATCTATGATCCCATTGCACACAATGTGTTTGTATATATGAATATGTTTGTATATATGAATCTACATTACATAGAGCAAAGAGGCTAGATATCACACTTAGCACGTACACCTTTCTTGTTTGCCATTGAGCTTCCCACAAAGACTCATGCACATACACACACATGAACATAAGAACAAGTGAGCAATGGTTTCTTTAAAGTGCTGGACTTCCACAAATTAGAAGTATTCTCTAAGAGGTCACATAAAAATTAAGATGAGCCCATTATAAGTAGAAATTTAGGACAACCAACTGAAAACAAATTTCAAATTCCATTTTGAGATATAAAATGATACAACTCATGTTCTTCTTTTTGGTGGATCTCAGGGCTTCACGTGTGAACTCAGGGCTTCACGCTTGCAAAGCAGGTACTCTACTGCTTGAGTCCCACCTCCAGTCCATTTTGCTCTGATTATTTTGGAGATGGGGTCTTGTGAACTTTTTGCCCCAGCTGGCCTCGAACTGCGATCCTTCAGCTCTCAACCTTCCAAGTAGACAGAATTACAGGTTTAAGCCACTAGCACCCAGCATGTTATGGTACTCTTATATTCTGGCTTTTGAATCCATGGGTCTTGTTTATGTTTTGCTATATGACATGTTTTCCCCTAAATATCTATTTACAGAAAAGCCCTTACTAGCAATTTTATAGAAATAGATTCTTAATGCTTTCATATTACTTGAAACACAATACGTTATACTTAAAGTAAGAACAATATATTTGCTAATTGTAAATACCTTCCTCTGTTTTGGAAAAGTAAATAATAGAGGTTCAATTCTATACCAAGAAACTTCAGAGCTACTTGTTGAAATACTGCCTCCTAGTGGTACGTTCTCTCATTTGTTTTATTAAACATTTAGTCACTATGTGGTTCTTCACAATTTAAAATCACAATTAAAGGACCAAGATCATATTATATGTTTTATTAAGTTTTAATATAATAAGTACTTCCATGAAAGTTGTTCCATGATTTATTACCTTAATTTCTCCTATTAATAAATGGCAATCGTCAACATGCAGTTAGTAACAGTGCTTAGATTAAAAACAAACCTTAAGTTACTAGAAATTATCATTGTTCTGTACCGTAAAAGTTCAAGAAACCTATCAAGAAATGCTTGAGATCGACAGGGATCCTGTGGAAGCAATAAGATATGTTCATTTAATAACCTAGTAGTTCTGTTTCTGAGTTACTGAATCAATACTACACACTCAGTAGTACTAGCAAGACAACTTTTCATTATATGCTATGGCAGATAACCCAAAATCATAGATAAAAAAAAAATTATGTGGTTTTAGAATGTTGTGGTAGAGTGAAATGTGGCTGTCTAATACTGTGTAAATTTACAAACTTCAAACAAAATAATACACAGTGAAAAATTAGAAAATCAACAGTCTTTCTCAATATGTGAAATTATTCCTTAGTCTTTATTATTAATCATCAAAAAAGAATATTCTGCATGTGTTTGAAATTTCTATCTATCCTTTGTATTTAATGCCTTTCCTGAATTAGGAGAAATAAGGTATTTTACTTAAATATCACACAGGGCTATGGCATGCATCAAAGAATTAAAGTAAAGATGTCACCTGTGGTAACCTCACCACACACATCACAGTATTGAAGCTGCTTGTTTACTGACTGTCACTTTCCACTGGATATTAAACATATTGAGGGCTACAATGTGTCCAAATATTTGAACAAAATTTTGGCTGAATTTATACATAAGTGATATTAAAAGAAAGCTGAAAATAAAATATAGGAAGCTTTGATTATCTGCAAAATCTGACAGATCTGGAGTCACAAATACATGTTCAAATCTTACCTCATCCTTACAAATTATGATTTTGAACTCTAACTCAATGAGGTTTAGTTTCTCATTTGTACAAAGTGATTACACCTGGTCTATGTATTTCACAGTAACTATTAAGATACAATGAGGTCATATATGCAAGTCCTTTGTAAGCACCAAATATATGTATACATATATTGTATATATACGTAGGAAATATATGAATAGAAAATCTTAGTCATCAATGACTTGTCTACCCTTCCTCACCTCTAACTTTCATTATCTATTAAGGGGAGCTATTGATCTCACCTCTGAAATGTTTCTCTAATCCATCTACTGTCTTCTCTATCTTAATTTCTACACCTTTCACTAAGACTTCATTTTTCTTTGAAATATTTTGACTGCCCCTTTCCTAAACTTTGGTCTCTCATAATCTGAATACAAACAAACAAAAAACCCTCCTCTACTATTGATGCCAACTCACTGCCAAGAAAAATAAACTCCAACCTACCTGACATGGCAGTGAGATTCCTGCTAGTCTATTTCCAGCTAGTTTCTCCAGTCTCACCTCCTGCCCACGCTGTTTTCTCTCTAGGAGAGGCTATGAACTTTCAGTTTCATGTTCTGGTTCACAGCATTCCCTCTCTCTGTTATTTTTCTTCATTTGTCAAAACCCTACATAGCTTTTGGGCACATGTAACATGTCATTTTCTCTGTAATACCTTCTCTGCTCTGCTTCTGGGTAAAATTAACCCTTCCCCCTTCAGTATTCTTCTACTGCTATTCAAATTAAATTTTAGTTGTAGAAAGTGTTTATCTCCTCCAATGCATTAGACTGAAATAGAAAAAAATCATTCATTTTTATTCACCTATTCTAAAGATAATGCCTGACAGACAGCATCTAACAAACACTGAACTGAACAGACTTATTCTTGATTTATGGAATAAATAAGGAGAACAAATTCTAGGAATAATCTTCCTTTGTAAAACATCACACTGATTCTTTTTTCCATTATCATTAGAATCAAATGAAGATCATTTGGCTTTGGATAGTAGTGAAAATATACCCTAAAGATGGATTCTCCACTGTAATCTTCTTGGTTTTTACATAAAGCAATCAGCTAAATTTCTCTCTTGCTGTCAATTTGGAAGGAGGCAGGAAGCAGTTATTCAAAAATCCAATCAAGTACCTGTAAAATGTATAGAAATAAAATATGAGACCCTAACTAGTGCTATTAGATATCAAGGTAAGAATCATGAAGTCTATTGAACTTGTTTGTGTATTAAAGAGCTGAAGATATTGTACAGACTAAAAGTAGTATTAATTGAGTTAAAAAGAACCTTAGGGAAATTGAAAATAAGCTAAAGGCAGTGCTAAATCACAGTCATGTATATTTTTGTATAGGTCTAAAAAACCATTTCCTCTTTATGTGAATAAAGATTAAGTGGAACACAGACATACTCTTTTGTTTCTGTGTTGTCGGTGTCTGCTTTTGCTCTACAGTGGCAGAGTAATTGAGACAGATATTGTATGTCCCACAAAACATAAAAGATTTACTATCTTGGCCTTTTAAAAAAAATTGGCCAACTCTACTACAGACAGCAGTTGAAAATCTAGTTGAAAACCAGGCCAATTGGTATATTTGTGGATTTATTATTTTAGAATTTAGAATTTTTATACAAAGATTTTTTTTCTCCAAACTTAAAAAATGAATGGTATAAAGATGTTATAATAAGAAATGTATAAGTATGAAGTACAGAGTAGAGATAAAAGATATACTGTATAGGATTTTTAAAAGACTATTTTATTTTTATACTTTTAACATAAGCCTACTTGATTATTCTTCATTAACCAAGAAGAGGAATGGCTATTCTTCATCACAGAATAAATTACTGAAAATGAACTTTTCTACCACTACTGTGTTACTAAAAATATAGAAACTTAATTCTTCACGTAAGAATAAAGAAGTAAAATTAAATGTAAATGCTTATTTTTTAAATCAGGGGAGGGCCAGACATGGTGGTGCACACTTGTAATTCCAGCACTCAGGAGGCTGAAGCACAAGGATCTCTAGTTCAAGGCTAACCTGAGTCATATAGAAAGTTCTAGGCCTACCTAGGCAACATAGTGAGACCCTGTCTCAAACAACTAAAAAGTAAAACAAAATAAATAAGACAACGTAAAATAAATAAAATAAAATGGAAGGGAGAGAAAAGCTCAAAGAGAATAAAGGAAAAAGGAAAGAAAGGTAGAGGGAGGGACAGAGAAAGAGAGTGGAGAGAAGAGAGATGAGAGGGGAGACCCTACTGTACCTCATTCTCTAATTGATATGAAGCCAATCTGTGTACCAAAGTTAAGGCCATCTCGGACATGGGAGAAAAACTTGTCAGGATGGCAGGATGTACAGAGGTTGAGATCTTGACTCTGGTCCTGAATATTATGTGGAAGAATTCCTCCTCGTTCTAGAAGAATCCTTAGGACAGATTTTTCAAAAGATAAAGAGTTTATTTTACCAATAGCTAAAGCAATCTAAGAAAAAAGTACGGTTACTGGTGTAAAGAGGCTTCAGGAAGGATCTGTTTAAACAATGAAACTGTTATTCATTCACACAACAGGAGCTAGCAGGTAATGGTAGACTTTATCACCATTTGACACCAAAGTTCAAATATGAACTGTACAAAGTTCCAGATTGCCCTGCAGACATGCAGACATCAAGGGCAATTGGACATGGAATTTTATAATAAAAAATCAAGTGCTTATTTAAGAACAGATTTCTTAAGCTACAAGGGTATGTAAGACAAGATCCATTTGGTTCAGATAGTATATGCTTTTCAGTCATCTAGCCCTCATCTCTTTTACTCCTATTAACTAGACTTTTCATAGAAAACTTGTTTACCCAAAAATACTTCTTGATATGAAAGATAAATAAAAACTAGTGCTGCTTACTTCACAAGGCACATTTAAGAATCAATCTGAATGCTTTCTACTTATGTATTAAATGAGAACAAATCTGGGTAAGGTTTTGTTGACTGGAATAGAAACACAATTCAGATCAGACATTAATTTTCCTTTGTAGACATGATGGACAATTTTTAACAGATATCAAAAGTAAAATTTCATAAATTCAAGATGCATAGTACTTGGAAGTGGCTAGTATTTATATTACCTAATACTTCTGCTAAGACATATATCCTGTACTAGAGAATAAGTACTTTCAAAATATCAGCTTCCTAATAAATCTATTTAGGAGAATTTACCTTAGGCATTACTTGAACTAGAATACATACCAGCTATTTTCTATGAATGTTAAGCAGGTCTCTTTAAAGGCCAACTGTTTGTTCCCTCACTTTCAAATCAGTAAAAGATACAACAGACTCTTGATATCATATAGTTAGAAGGATACTGTTGTTGAGAAAAACCATGAATGCTCAGGAGGCATAGAGTTCGGTACTCTAAAATGATACTCAGCAGATCACGCAACAATTTCACACAGCTGATGATAATGCAGGACTGACTGAGAACTTCTCCACATCAACTGAGCTGTGTAATCTGCACATGGAAATTTAAAATTTTTGTTCTTGAAATTTGTTTTGTCTTTTATTACTATTTTTTGACTGCATTCAGTCAAAACCACGTGTAATAAATCCACAAAAAAGGTGGGTTTCTAGTACCAGACAAGGAATTTTCTGTCATTCAGAAATAACTGAGATGGTTTCATATATAAAATGAATTTTTCTGTATGTCCACTACTTAAGTGTTTGCCACCTGAATTGTTCTGGGAGCTACTAATTGTTCTCTAAAGCAATTTTCAATTCAGAGGCAATAAGCAACAATTAAACTTATAGTTCCACAATGAAATCAAACATACCTGGTGGCTTTACGGAGGTCAACGTAGGGATTTGGCGAGTCAAACAGTCGGACACACGCAGGATGGAGATTATGGAATGTGTTTGCAGATTCCCTGGGAAGAGTAAAACAGCAAGGTCCTACTGAAGGTCCCAGCACAACAATAATGTCTTCCAAACTACAGCCGTATTCTGCTATCATAGCATTCACTGTAGTCATAGCAACACCTAACAAAGTACCTTTCCAGCCTGGTAAACAGGAACAAAGAGAGAAAGAAAAGTTGCAACATAAAATTTCAGCTGAAATTTTGTCTACATGAAAAATGAGCATTCAGTTTGCATATTTTTCAAAGTCCAGCAATAATAAATGAATCACAAAATTAATTTCTATGTTTTATAGTACTTACTGGTTTTGTTCTATCTTATAGTAATCAATGAGATGTATGCAAAGCATCTACCATAAAATAGACATTTATGGAAGTTTCCTCACATTTCCTTTTGAAAATGTTCTATGTTTAATTTCCATAGGAATTATGCTCTTAGTCTTTTGTTTTTTCCTTGTGATTTTTAAAAAATCACATAAAATATAACATTTTAACAATTTTAAGTGTAAAATTCAGTATTAAGTACATTCACAGTTATATAAGAACCTTTTCATCGTGCAAATTTGAAACTATTAAACAGTAACTTCTCATTTCCTCCTTCCCTTAGACCCTAATGAATACATTTTTTTTCTGTAATTTGACTACTTAGAAACTTTATCATATAGTATATCATATAGTATTTGCCTTTTTGTGACTGGATTATTTCATTAAACATGTCCTCTAGGTTCATCCATGTTATAGCATGTGTCAGAATTTCCTGACTTTTTAAGACTAAATAACATTCCACATGTATATTCTCTATATACTACATTTTGCTAATCCATTCATCTGTCTTTGGACACTTAGCTTCCAGCTCTTGGATCTTGTGAACAATGGTGCTACAAACACAAGTGTGTAAATATCTCTTCTAGATCCTACTTCAAACTTTTTTGGATAAACATCCAGAAGTAGATTTGATGGTAATTCTATTTTTAAATTTTTGAGGAAGTACCATACTATTTTGATAGTGAATTTATCATTTTATATTCCAATGAACACTGCAACAAGATTCAAATTTTTCATAACCTAAATTCCTATTATTTTTTAATATTCGCTAATGGGTGTGAAATGAGATTGTTTTTTATTTGCATTGCCAAAATTACGAGTGATGCTTCATGTTTGTTGGCCATTTACATATCATCTATGAAAAACTATCTATACTCTGGACCTTTTTTTTTTTTTGTTTATTTTCATGTGCATACATTGTTTGGGTCATTTCTCCACCCTGCCCCCCTCCCCCACCCATCCCTCCCCCTGTCAGTTTCAGGCAGGCTCTGGACCATTTTTAATCCAGTTTTTTTTTTATTATACAGTTGTAGGAATTCTCTATTTTGGATGTTAACCCCTTATCAAACACATGATTTGCAAGTATTTTCTTCCATTACATGGGTTGCTTTTCCATTCTATTGATTTGTGTCCTCCAATGGGCAGATGTTTAATTTTGATGAAGTCCAATTTATCTATTTTTACATTTGTTTCATGTGCTTTGAACATCTAAAAGCTACTGCCTAACCTGAACTCTTGAAGATTTACACTGATGCTATTTTCTTAAGAATTTTACGATTTCATCTCTCACACTTAGGTCTTTGACACATCATGACTAAAGTTTTGAGTATGATGTAAGGTGAGGGCCCAACATGATTCTTTTCTATATAGATATCCAATTTTCCCAGCACTATTTGTTGAAGAAACTGTCCTTTCCCTTGCATCTTTGTTGAAAAGCATTTAACCATACTTGAGGTTTTATTGTTGGGCTCTTTATTCTTTTTCATTGGTTTATATATACGACTTCATATTAGTGCCATCCTGTTTTGATTACCATAGCTTCATAATTTTTTGAAATCAGGAAGTGACAGATATTCAACTTTGTTCTTCCTTTTTAAGACTACTGTGACCATTCAGAGTCCTTTGAGAATATACATGGATTTTAGGATGGATTTATTTCTGCAAAAAAAAAAAAATTGCCACTGGGATTTTATAGGGATTGCATTAAATCTGTAGATCATTCTGGATAATATTGATTTAATAATATTAAGTCTTCAAATACAAGAACACAATTCCCACTTGCTTCTTCATTAATTTATTTCAGCAATGTTTTGTTGTTTTTAAATCTCTTCCTCACTTTTTACAGTAAAATATATTTATTTAAATGAACAGTCCGTTTCACATACTTCTCCTCTTGCCTAGACTATCATGCCATTGTTGGCTTTTTTCTCTTCCTCTTCATTGCATCCCCTGGAGTTCCAAGATTAAACCATTTTCTTCACTCCTGCTCCCATCTAGTACCAAAGACAGAAACCTAATAATATTACATTTTTCCTTTGGTCCTAATATCTGGGTGAGATTTAGCTCAATTAGTTGGCCAGTAAGTCACCTTATTCTTCCCTTCAGCACTCTACATGCATATCCGTCTAAAGCTAAGCACTCAGGTAAAGAGATCAATCTTTCCAGAAATAGAGGGGAGTGATAGAAATGATAAATACTTAGATGGTAGATTCAGCTTTTATAAGCAACCCACTGGATATGTGGATATGGGAAAAGAAACAGAATAAAATATCAGGCTTCTAATATGGGTCTCTTAAGTGGACAGGACCTCAATACTGAAATTGGAAACCTGCGTGGTAGATAAGGGTTTAGGAAAAACTACTGAGTTTTTAACATGATGATTTTGAGGCACCTTTGAAAATGCAGAGGGAAGCATATAGACATTTTGTGCTAAAAAGAGATACTGTCCAGGCTTCTCTGCAGACAAGAGTATTTTTCTTTCTCAGAAACCCTCCTCAATTATCCTCTAATCTGTAAGTCCTCCAGTCCCTCTGTATTTGATTGTTTTCCTATAGCACTTGCACATGCAAGTATATCTATATATATCTGGTTTAAAATATTATTATTAAATTAGTCCCACAGAGGATTTTACACTTGCTGATATTTGATTTTTTTTAAAGTATATAATGGATCTAATTGTACTCTATTTCAAACCTAAGAAGTAAAAATAATATTTCCTTTTTATAACTAGGAACTCAGATTCAAATTTTAAATTACTTTTGACAGTAAACTTGACTTCTCATCCAATTCCATTACTTTAGTTAGGTCAAAATAAAGATATGTCACTTTCTTTTTTTCATTTGTGGTCTAAAGAGCATAGTTGTAGATTTACAGATAAAAGAAAATTTAAGAAATGACCTCTTATTTCACATAGAATCATAAACACTCGATAATCTAAGTACAGTTTTAATATATTTCCAGAAAACAAAATTCTGTAACTTTAACACAATATAGCATCTAAAAAAATGCTTCTTTGCTTTTACCTGCAGCTAGTGGTTACAGTCAAATACATTTAGTTATTTTCACTAAATGCCGTTTTTCAAACATTGTCTTGATTTTCTGAATCACTGCTTTACTCATGTGGCTATCTCCATGTGAACTCCTTCCTACATGCTTAACATTCCTATTCTCTGCCTGGACCTCCAGGGTTCTCAGTACCATACTCCTAGGGCATGTTCTAAAAAGCATGGAGGGTTGTTGCTTGATTACTACAATGTCTGGGGTGCTACTTACATTAACAATTTCAAGGGTCAAAGATACTTAATCTGTACTGCAGAATTATCTTGCCCAAAATGTTAACAGCATCCTTGGGTAGAAACACTGGCACTTAGCTTTAAAATATATAGATTCCTCAGGAATCTACCTACGTACCACCTCCTTTGAGATTCCACTCTGATTCATATGTTTGACATAGATACTCCTTTCATCTGCTCCCTTAATGAGTATCCAGACCCCAGCTTTATCATTACACGTATCACAAAGAAATTAACTTCTTGACATGTCTACCAGAAAAAAATAATTTTTCCTGTAATACAAAATCATTAAAGATACTTACCAGAGTGAGCAACCCCACATGCTTTTTTCACAGGATCTGCAAACACTATAGGTATACAGTCGGCACCAAGAGCTGCTACTGTGACTCCTCTTTGGTTTGTGGTTATTGCATCATAAGATTCAGGTTCCTTCTTTCCCATAATCCAGACTTCACTGGCATGATCAGGCTAATACCAGAGATGTGTGATAAAAAAGTTTTGAAAATGAGATTTCTTACTTGTAAACATTTCTGAAAGTACCTATTTCAGTATGATATATATAACCAGTGTAAGACTGCTGGAATTCAACAAATACACCACTTCTGTATATGACAAAATACCAAATGCATTACCTCTGTATAGTTTATTCATAGGAAAAAAGACTTAAAAATTCAATATACTCCATCATGAATACCTTCCACTAGAGTGCAGTAAATCTCTACTTGCAGAACTTTCTACAAAATACAAATTTACTTTCTTATGAAGAAAGTTAAATTACCAAATGAATGATATTTTTACTTTTCCTAGACCCAAGTGAAGCTAGAATCCTATAAGGAACAAGGCATTATCCCCTCAATTATGACCCTAGTTTCCTTAGTGGCTTTTGTTGTTGTTTTGTTTTTGGGGTGGTGGCACTCCCTGAAGATGTTGACATACTATGCATCTATTACACATACATTTTTAAAATTATTTATTAGCATTGATAGTATGAGGGGGTTTCATTGTCATAATTGCATAGATGTGAAGTGTGTACTGTATAGAAGTTTATCCCCTTTCCTTATGTCGATTTAGAAAAATAACTACCTTTCTTTCCTACCATTCAGGTACCTTTCTTCTATATCAAAAAGGGTAGTGGCACTATACTGTCTGAGAATTAACCATACTTTTAGAATGGAAGTGCTCCAGATGAAATATATGTTATATACACATTAGCATTACATATATATATGTGTGTGTGTGTGTATATATATATATATATATATATATATATATACACACATTAGAATTGATATTTAGGCTATGGTGAATAAGTCAATGAAAAACAGCTATAGCATTATCCTAAAATGTTAGATCATACACCAGAAGCAGAATCTAAGTATCTCAAAGTCCACATGGTTACCAATAGTCAAAAATATACTTTAGATCTTCCAAACCATGAAACAAAATTTTACCTTTATTCGGTGAAATTTCTCTGCGTTAAATCCTGCAGCATTCGCCAACCTACGTAGGTTTTCTTGAACAACTACCTTGGGATCTCTCCGTTTGGAACTACTGAAGAGATTGAATGAGCTAAGAGTTGGTATGTAAGATATCCCACCAGTTCTTGTAGTAAATCCATGTATGAAAATATCTGTTGAAGATAAGTTGTACAGCTTAAAAAGATGCTCTACAAAAACCAGTCTCTCCATCAGAACTTCCCCAATCGCTTCAACCTGTACTTATTTATCTGGCATCTAATTTGAAAGCACTTTGTACCCACATATGTTCTTACTACATCCTGCTGTTTGTTTACCTTCCCTATGGGATTATTGGTCTTTAAAGGTTACCTTCTGTTTTATCAGTCTCTGTTATGCCCAAAAGCACATAGCTCACGGTAACTACTTGTTAACCAAGAAAGAAGTTCAATTATTTTAAATTTTACTCTTCTCTGAAAGTGTCAATGAGTTGAGGTTTCAGATTTCTAAATAAAAGACTTTCAGGGTCAGAAATCTCATTCTTAAGGAGGGTTAGGAATCTGTCTTAAAGCTAAATTTGCATAGAGCCAATTTGTTTATTTAGAGCTTTGAAGAAGTCATTAAATTTATAAATTCACCCTGACTCACAAGATCATTCAACACACCCCCATCTTCCAAGTGATGCTAGAGAGCAATAATCCCACAGAGTCAACAAAAAAAAAAGGCATCGAGCAACCTCTGAAGAAAGGCTGAATTTTCATGTACACAGTAAAAATAACAGTGTTGAATATACCTGGGATCGACGGAGTTGTGATAATAGCTAATTCTCCATTCAGAGCTGGCAGACTCCTTAAGTATGTTTCTATTTCATTCTGGATTTCTTCAAGTTCATGAGCTGTGATCATGTTTATTTCAGTGGACTGTTTCAAAAGGCCATCCTTCAAGGACACCTGTAAATCTTCAAACTCAAAATTGTAAACCTCAGTGAAGAGTTGATCGATGAAAGCCTTCATTAATGTCTTTCTGTGCATTGGTACAATCACCTTAATGCTGCTCAGATTTTTTTCATCGATTTTTTGTTTAATGGTATACAAAGAGGCAGCCATACTAGGTTTACTAACAGTCTCAAATTCTTTCAAGAGAGTTAATAATCCATTGCTTGTTTCCAATTCACAAATATCATTTTCACCACCCCTTTCACAGCTGATGTTACCGCAACATATTATGCAAAGAAACTTGGCCTTGTCAGCATGGTGGTTTTGGACAGCATTCAATGTCTTTAGCAATGTCTGATGGCAGTTGTTTTGAGAGTTCAATTTCAAACCAAAGAGATCAATCAAAACTGCTTCTGCCATCCTTCAATACCATACAATATTCTTCAAGATCTGTGTCAAACAAATCATCTATAAAGAAAAATTAGCGTAAATAAGAATACAAAATTTTATCAATCTTCTTATACTTACAAAAGAAACTTGTGGTGGATTAAAAAAAAGAACTGCAGTAATTAAAAAGAAAGTAGCCAAAATAAAGATAGACATCTTCCAAAGAAGCTAGTTCATTATTTCTCAAAACAGAAACATGACAACTAAATTGAAGCCATCTTTTAACTTATCTTATGAAAATGTGGTACAAGTTTTCAGCAGAACAGTTTTTGTTCATAGCAAATTTTAAGTGGGAAATGACTGGTTGACCTGGACCACGTCCTGATTTTTAATCACACGATGCCAATGTATGACATGATTGTCATATTAGGTCACATCCTTTGATACGAAATGGCCGGCAGGAGGTGAAGCTGAGCTGCACCTGAAAATCGCGTTTTTCAGGAGTTAACAGCCGAGAGGACTAACTCCTCTGTGGAGTTAGTGCTCCACACTTGGCAGTGATGACAAACGCGACAGTAATTTGGGTGAGAACCCCTCCTTACGCACTTTCTGACTCATTCGCGCAGATTTTTCACCTTCGGCCAGTCCTGCACCGGGGCGGCGGGTTTGCCTGGGTGACTCGTGTCCCCTCCCGTCCCCCTCGCACGGGCTCCCAAGTTCATTCATTTCGCCACTAGAAGTGGGTGACCTCCCGCCTTCCCCACTAGGCTTGTGTCCCCGCTCCTCCGACCTGGGGGACGTGGGCTTGGGCTCAGCACCCGCCGGGGCACCTCCACCCACCGCCCCCTAAACCGGTGGCCGACGGTCAGACTCACGCCACAGGCGACGTCCCCGGTCGACTGTCGCACTTTTCCTAGGGCTGCACGCCCCGTCTGCGGCCGACTCGGGGCGACTGCAGCCTCCACCCCGCCACGAGCCTGAGAGACCGGGAAGCGGCAAGCGTCACCTGGAGTCGCGCGCCCGTCGGACTCACCCACCTCCTTTCCCCACCAGCTCCAGCGAAAACCAGACGGCAGGCGCCCGGCGCGGGGCGGGAAGGCTCCAGGTAACTCCGGGGTGGGCGGGGCTGCGGGGCGGGCGTCGGGCGCGCGCGTGCGTCAGGCGGGCGGGCGGGCGGCGGGGGCGCGCGCAGGGGAATCCCGCGATGAGCCCAGCGCTGCGTGCCAAGGCCTCAGCAGTTCCGGGTCAGCGCGGCCCCGCGTCCGCCTGACGCCGCCCTCCCGCGGCGGCAGACAGGCGAGTCCGTGTCTCCGGGAGCGGTTTGGCCGGAGACCAGCGAGTCAGCGCACGGAAGGCGGGCAGGACGGGTCCGCAACGGGGGCGTCAGGGACGGGGCGGGAGTGAGGAGGAGGGCGGTGGGAATGGCGGCGCCCCCAGGGGAGCGGGCTGAAGGAAGTCGGGCCGGAACGCCGGGTTTATCAGCCTGTCACGCTAGCTCGCGGTCACTCGTCACGAAGGGGCCTCTGTGGGAAGGCTGTTTTGGTTTATTGCAGAAACAAGTTAGTTCTTTTTTTTTTTTTTTCCGCCTCTTTGCAAAGAAAGGAGATTCGGCGTTTCTTGCTGACAGGACCACTTTTTTTTTTTTTTTTTGCGGTACTGGGATTCGAACTCAGCCTCACGCTTGCTAGGGGGGCGCTCTACCGCTAGAGTCACACCCCCCCCAGCCGTTTTGCTTTTTTTTTTACAGTTATTTTTCAGATAGGGCCTCCTCAGACCCCAATCTTCCTACCTCTGCCACCACCCCTACCCCCGCCCAGCTGGGATTACAGGTGCGTGCCATCGCTCCCCACCAGGACCGACCGACTTCCTTCCTTCCTTCCTCCTCCCTCCCTCCCTTCATGTGCTGGGGGTTCATTGTGACATTTACAAAAGTTCTTACACTATTATCATAGTTGAATTCATCTCCTCCATCATTCTTTATCTCCCCTTCTCCCATTCCTGGAAGGACCAACACTCTTGATAATCTCTTCACTTGCATTGACAACACAGATGTCTCCATAGGCCCTTTATATACACCCTTAATAGGACAGAAAGCACCAAATCTTAGAATCTTGTAAAAGGTACAATTAGGCATTCTTTAACTGTCCTCCATGAGTATAATGTTCATTTAGTTAAAAACTGTTGAGGCCAGACACCAGTAGTTCACCCCTATAATCCTGGCTACTTGGGAGGCAGAGATCAGGAGGATTGTGGTTCTAGGCTATCCTGGGCTGGTGGAGTGGCTCAAGTGGTAGAGCGCCTGCCTAACAAGTGTGAGGCACTGAGTTTAAACCCAAGTACCATCAAAAAAAATAAAAAATAAAACCTAAACGAAAAAACCTGTTGAGCAGCTACTACGTGGAAAGCATGTGCTATGGTGAAAGGGAAAAAAAAAAAAATTCCCGACCTTAAAAAGTAACAGAAAAGATGTTTGCTGTAAAACTGGCTGCATGAAAGGAGAGGCCCCTTTATCTTTATTGTTACTCATAAATGCTAAAGAAGTTTCTCCTGAATGAGAAAGCATCTCAGGTACCTGGGAGTTTAGAAGAGCTTGTAAATGGGCACCTGCTTCTACTTGGCTAGAGATCACAAAAACCCACTCTTCAGTATCCCTGGCAAGTACTTTTTTTTTTTCCTTTTTTTGTCAAATTAGTATTTTCACTGAACGTTTATCGGGAACCCTTCTACTATCAAGAAGTGGTAGATGATACACCTGATCAGAAGGTGCACTCTCTGCCCTTAGCTTGTTTTATGTTAAATGTTACCTCAAGCAAAAGAGGGGTCTTTAGTTACAAAGCAAGTTTAAAACATTTATCCCAGTTTTTGTAGCCAATGATAAGAGTAGAGATTCTTTCATCCAACAGCAATGATAGCAAAATACAAACAAGAAATTTCAAAACAGTGGAGTTGTTGGGGAAGTTTTTATATTGTATTTGCATACCACTTCCTTCACCATCTGGTCCTATCCTCATTTCTTAATACTTTCACCCCATCCTTATCCTGCTCCAGTGACTGTCATCTGAACATCTGACCTACAAGTAGTTCTTTAAAAAAACAATACAAGGACCCATCTGCCAGGTATATGTTGAATCAGAATCTCTAGGAGTCAGGCCTGGGCATATTTTCCTTTGCTTTCTTGTTTTAATATCTACAGAGAATTCAGTTGAATAACTAGGTTTGAAAAAGTAACTGCCCTATGGCCCAAGCCATTCAAATGAATGTTGTTCTTTGAATATACCACATGATCACATTCTTGACATTTGCTATTTATTCTAAGTAGGATATCCTTTATATGTCTTTAACTGCTTCTTTAGACTCTTCAAGTTCAAACATACCCTTCTCCTCACCAAGGAGAATAGCTTTAGCATTTTGTTCATATACAGGGCTCTTTGATAAGTGCAGTCTGGATCAAGATCCAAGCAACAAGTTCAAAACATTAATTAAACATTGAATATTATATACTTTATTAGGATCAGTGGTCCATAAATTATATCTAAGTAAAGCTTTTTTTAAAACAAAAGAAAAAAGTCAGTTAAACCAGAGAATCATGGAAAAGTGTAACCTAATATTATAAACTTTTTCCTTTAACAAACTAGAACAGCAGTGCCCATTTTGTATGCTTATTTGTCAATCTATTGAGAAAGTCCAGGGCTTTTTGTTTGCCACATTTTGTGTCTTGCATAAACCATACAGTCAAACCATCTGCTATGATTCCCCAAGTTTTTGTTCCTCTAAGAGGAAAATAACTTAAAGGTACTTGTGAAGCAATTTGAGTGCAAATTACTCTTCATTATCTTTTATAGTTATCTCACATACCTTTATTGAGTCTTTCCATAAAGAAACACACTTTATTTCCATGCCATTTCATTGGTTTACATAACATTTAATTAAGTTATAAAAGTACAATATGAAGGATAACTGGCATAAACATTTAAGAATTAAATAATTCATGGTAAGATTGACAGTTCAGCTGGTAGAACAGAATGAGGCAGATTAACTAGGTAGTAGTTTTGTAGCCAAGATCATTGGGCATCATGATTTACAGAGGACACAGAAAAGGTTAATTGCTTAGAACTCAAGTGTAGATACACTAAGGGAGCATCTGTTCTACTTCTCCATTTTAATTACTTGGCTATGTGTTTTTCTTCCTCATAGAGACTTATGAGGAAGGCTTATGAGGGCCTGGCTATTAGGGAAACCACAGGGAAATCCCCAGACATTATTCACTACCATGGAAATCTTTATTTTGGCAGTACTGGAGTTTGAACTCATGGTTTTGCACTTGCTGGGCAGGTGCTCTACCACTTGAGCTACACCTCCAGCCCTAAATCTTCTTCTATTCCTTTTTTTCAGATAGGGTCTTGTATTTTTTTCCCAGGCTTACCTTGGACCAAGATCCTCCTATCTATACCTCCTGAGTCCCAGTAGCTGGTGTTACAGGAGTGTACTACCACAACTGTCCTCCATTTAAATCTTAGGAAAACAAGTAGAATTTTAAAAAATGCTGGCCATTTTTATTTACATAAAGGTTTTTGGGTCTTTACTGAAAAAGCCATTGTAACAGATGCACATTTCCTGTTCAAAGCTTGTATTTGGTTTCCTGAGGCTGCCATAACAAATTACCATAAACTGGATGGTTTGAAACAACAACAACTCATTTCCCCACAGTTATGGAGGTTGGATTGTGAAACTGAGCTGTTCACAGGACCTTGCACCTTTTGAAGGTTTCTTTGCCTCATCATTTTCTTGTGATGCCAGGGCTACATTACTTGAGGCTCCATGCCTCCATCTTCACATGGTTTTTCCTGTATGTCTGAGTCTCAAATCTCTGTCTACCTTTCTTTTATAAGGGCACCTGTGTAAAAACCAATGAAGACCAAATGAGAACAAGAAAATACTGTTTATTCAAGCTTACAAGGGAGTCTGCCACCATCACTTTTTGTTTTGGCAGAAAGTCAAAGGCAGGAAGAGGAGTAGCTATGTTTGAAGTAAAGATGCTGACATGGGGAAGCTGCGGGCAGGCTAACTAGAAGTGAGACATTCTGTGTGATTGGTTATGGATACATACTTTGCTTTCTTTGGTTGTTCCAAGTTGAAAGTAGGGATAAGAATTAGGAAAAATGTTGGTCACTAATCAGATACTGGCCATTTTGTGCCAATTGATGTAATTATCAATTGTTATTTGAAATGGTCTGACTTCCTACAGGTAAAATTTATAGATAACAGGCTGGCTTCCTGAACTGATTACTGTAGATAATAGGTTGGTTGCTGAGGGTCATGGTTTAGAGTTCTGTTTTTACATACCATTTTTTGCATATTCAGCCTCTCACCTGTCATTGAATTTAGGGCCCACCCTAAATCCAGGATGATCTCATCTCAAGATCCTTAACTTAGTTATATCTGTAAAGACCCTTTTTCCAAATCAGGTAATATTCACCGGTTCCGAAGGTTATGCCATGGACTTATCTTTTGAGGGCCATCATTCAACCCACTACAAAGTTCTTAGTATGGAAATCATGCTTACTTGTTTAGGGGGAGAGGAAAGACCTTATCCCTTAGTTTCCAGAATGGGACAAGCAGGTAGGTTATGACTGGATTTCAACAAAGTCTTCTAATTTCTGTCCCAGAGGTAAGAAACTTTTTGAAACTGTTACCTCCTTTATAGCTTGCATTTGAGCTGCAGAACAACCCTCTGTGTGTACACTCAAAAATGAGAGGCTTTGGTAGTCCAAAACTATCAAAACCTGTCTGTACATTCAGAATAATCCCACCTTTGATAGAATATGGATAACATATGAATGTTGCCTATACTATTTTGGATAGGGAGTTCAGGAACAATATAAAACCTGTGGTTTCCTTCTGTTTAAAGTGTCCTGAAACCTTAATTTCATTGTCTGGCCAGAAAAAAGAGTAATCGTAAAACAGATTTTAGAATCTGCTGAAACAGATATACAATAACAGTAACCTTCTGTTTTTTTTTTGTTTTATCTTGTTTTTGTTTTTTGAGGTGGTGTCTTTTTGTATAGACCAGGCTGAACTTGAACCCAAGATCTTTCTGCTTCCGTCTCC